ATTGAATATTCGTGAATTTTAGCTAAAATATTAGCAAATAAGAATAAAATAATTAATTTTTGCTACGAAAAAGAAAATCACATGATACATACGTATTCGTCGTGGACGATCACGATCAGTGCTTTCAGTAAATTCAAGTATAAATAGAATTATATCGCATGATTCATTTTTCACCGGTGCAATAAGAACCGAACATCGAAATTTAATGCCTATAATAAAAAACAAAAATTTACGGAAATGTATTTCCGTTTTTTATTGCAACTACAGTAATTAACATACCAGTATTCTTATATAAAATAATATCGACTTCTTTTTCATCACTCCCTTGTAATGCATGTCGAATTTGTTTAATAGATTTTTCATTTGTTTCATTACCATATAAAAATTCACATGCACAAGATTTTTGTAATATATCTGAACGTGAATAACCAGTTAATTCGCAAAATGCATCATTACAATAAATTATTGGTTTATTAACCAATTGAGCATTAGATATAAGAAAACATCGGTCTAATTAATGATGTAAAGATGTAATATATTATTTTATAATCAAAAAAATTAACATACTTTGTGAGTCAAATTTACGAATAATTGTATCGATAAATGTATTTTGAGGAGCCGAAACATGACCCCGTTTCATCGGCATTTTTAACGGAAGCTCATAAAAACGTTGTCATCATCTTCAAGAAAGAACGGGAAAACAAAATATGCTCGTCATTTGAGTCTGAGACAATACAGAAACAAACAACACAGAAAAAGTGTGGCTGTATGTATATATATGTGTGTGTGTCTAGTGGCGTAAAAGAGAAATAGCTTAAGACAACCGGAAATGTTTGACGTCAGCACGACGATACAGAACATTGCGTCATTCGAACACCACTAAAAGTAGCGATAGAATCAAGGCCACTTATTAGGTATATGTATATCTCGTGTCAAGCTTTCTCTCTCTCTCTAGAGGAAAAAAATGAAAGAAAACGAAAGAATTACATGCCCTGAGTATCTATTTTAATCAGATGTTGATATAATGCATATGATATGTCTTCACTAGGTTTATAATTGTCATAAATTTATGTTCTTCTATGACTGAGATCAACAAAAAAAAATTCAACGCATATTTCATATGTCAATGTAGAAACAAGAAACGTAGTTGATAATCTTTGAATAGGCATAAAAAATGAGTAAATCTATAGGTTATGATTTTAAAACCTATTAAGGTCATAGGATTATGCAAGAAACAGAAAATAAAGAAAAGATACTTAGATATTGTTGACTTACTTTCTATAATAATTAATTCATACGATGGAAATAATGATATAAAAACAGTAAAGAAAAGAAGTCATTTCAACGGTGTAAATACAACAAATGAATGAAACTCTTCATAACATTTTTTTTCGCTGTTTCTTTCTATAGCTTGCGGAAATCTTAGAGAAGTCATGCATGGACCATAGTATTCCATTATCGACTACGACTACTTCTGCATCATTGCTAGCATTATGATTGAAAAAAAAGAACTTTTTCTTCTTGTTTTCTTTTTTTTTTATATCCGAGCACATGATCGGAAGACTCACTCGGGAAGAAAGAAACTGACGGTTTGCCTTTTAAAAGAATGTTCTTTGCTTTCTCTTTATCTCGAATTTTCTATCACTTTTCTTTTGTTACTTATTCTCATTAAAGTTTGTTTCATTTATTCTTGCTTACAAAATCACATAGATAAATATATGTTTACCGATTGTGTTGTGACAATAGATCATATATCTATATAGACATATATGTGTCGTTTTTATAAATGACACTGCATATAGTTGCGATCTATGAATGTCGGAACATTATAATTTCAATAGCATATGCTGTTATACGGTGTGCTGACGTCAAAAAGCCGACTGATCAATTAGTTATGTCACATTTAATATGGACGAAATGAAATGATTTCGTTAAGAATGATTGACTAATAATTAGAAACCATTTGATCGGGTATTAGATAGACGAATAAACAGGTCACTGTTTCATCCTAGATATATGGTATTCCAATACAATAGTCAACAATAATCAGAGGAATAGAGATTATTGGCCTTATCACTACGATAAAAAAAAAGAATTGGCAAAGAAGTATTGGTTCCTACCGAGTACATACTTCTCTAAATGTAAAAAAAAAAGACGGGCGAACGAGAAAAGAAGATCTTTCCTTTTCTCTGTCTATTATTGTCTTCTTATTTGGTTGTATATAAAGGGCGTAAATGGGCTAAAGATGAGCTACTAGAACAGAGAATATATGAAGAACAAGAAAAGAAACAGTTTCTTTATAAGAAAAAAGACCGAAACACATGCACCAGATGTAATTGACGTTCGGGAATAGGATGTGTGTAGATCAATAAACATTCGATTAAAAAATACAGCAACAAAAAATAATCACAAGAAAACGATATTTTAATCATATAAAAAGTTCATATGATGCGCTTTTTTCTCTTAATCAGTGAAGCATTTAACGAATTGAAGTGATTAATAACGTTATGCCCATATTATTGGTATTATATCTGATGCATATACAAATGTAATTCTAAACGACAGGGAAAAAAAGAGCTTGAATACCAAATAATTATTTTGTTAGATAACACGTTCACCGGAAGTTTCTTCATACAATATACATGTAAAATACCAATCAGAATTCATTTATTTGGAATAAAACATTACGAAGAACTATTACACAAAAAAAAAGTGTCATTTAAGCCTAGAAATCAAAATCAAATATTGTACTCACTGATCTCTGTACATATATAATTATGAGTTTTGTTAGTAGAATACATTAACATCTCGCTCGAGGAAACTGTTCTGTTCCCGGCGGAATATTCAATGTTTACGTTTTTTGTAGTATTATTATATAGGTTTAAATGCCTACTATATTTGTGTGGCATGTTATTGCCTACTTGTTACATAAAAACAAATTGATACTACATTATGTTTTTCTCCTTTTTTTCTTTTGTCAAAAGTCGAATTCTCAAAGGAAAGCCACTGAAATTTTTTCCTCATTTTTTTTCCAACACAGTACACCCAATTGGGGATGACACTTTTTCTCATTATCTACACCAGTTTGACTCTTGCTGAAGAATAGAAACAATAGTTGTAAAATAAAATATCGTCTATTCAGATTTATACAATAATAAAGCTTTGGATATCCAAGAAATAAGCTACTAAAAACTAATGAAATATCTCTACCATATTTTGACAAAATAAATTAATTTTTTTTTTCGTGATGAAAGAAGAAAGTTACAAGGTTTTATTGATAAATTACCCGTTTATTGACATACTTCAAATCTAGTATTATCTACATGATATTCCAAAAGTCAGCGAAAAAAGTTGACGTCAATATTTCATAAACAGCTCAAAGGATTTATATATTTAGTCTAAATAATATTCTATACATTATTTGAAATGTTGTTTGTGTCTGTTTTTTTATAAACATTATAATAGAAATAGTTTTGTTAATTGCCAAATTTGACATCTACGATAACAAAAGGAAAAGTGCAAGTGGACTTTAGCATACAAATGTCACGGACAGGCTCTATTAGATATGTTTTACAATGTTTTTGCGAAATTAGTATAGTTGTTAATAGACAATAATATGAAAAAGACCTGTAAAAAACAGAAAAGAAAAAATCAACAGAATGACTGAATATCTTCCAAAGAAGCCATATGAAGTGCAATTTGTTCAACGATTTCACGAAGAACATTGACAAGATCAGGTTGAAATGATATCAAGTTGATACAATTATTGAAAACTATCAACAAACAAAAGAATTCATTTTTTTGCAGATGAAGCCTCTTTTTATTTTGATTGTTTATTGGTAAATATATAGTGAATATCTATGTGAATAAGACATATATATATATAATATGCTTCAATTCAAAATAAGAATAGATAACGAGAGTAGATTAGTTTTTTGAACATTCATTCTAAATCAAATTATATGAAATGAAATTACTCGAAATATACAAGAGATGTTTGTGTGAACTTTCTTCAGAGACTTGTAGAACACTCTGTACTTCAAACTAAAAGTTGTTTTTTTTCTAAATAATTGCGTCTGTAATCTATCGAGAGAAACGCATGGATCTGGCATTATTTTGTTTTGATATATACGGTTTTGTAGATCTTCTTGCGTTAATTATTTCCATAGAAAATTTTTCCTATTTTCATTAGCAAATCAAGGTACTACGGTTAAAGTGCTCTTGAACTTCAAAACAGTTTTATATTTTTTCAATCTTTTTGAGTCTAACATTGTCATTGTAGATGAGAATAGAAAATTCTTTTGACTCAAATGATCAGTGAAAAAATTTTACAATATACAAATAATTAAAAAGTATTCGAGATATCTTCGTATCTTTATAGTTGACTATCTATGTAAGTACTCTATCAAAAGTTACCTGTAGTTGTACGAGTTTTTCTAGAATTTTCTGCATATGAACATCAGAGAGATTTTTTTGAAGACTCAAAGAAGCCAGATAGACTAGTGAAAACTTAAAAATTGCAAATAAATAATTTTAAAAAAATCGAAAAAATTTAAGAATATATCAATTTGACTAATGTTACAAAAGTCTGAAATCTATCGTTTATCTTTACAAGACTAAATTTTTCGCTCATGAATAATAACTTGAAACTCATGAGATCAAAATACAATGGAGACATATTTTTTTTTTGGTAGGCTATTTCTGAGATACTCAGGAGAATTTTCTGTCAACAACAGAAGTTCAGATTATTTTTCATTCTTGATTCTTTAATAATATCTTTGCGTTCGTTCGAAATGTTTCAGATATTATCATAATTTCATCAATCTACGCTGATAACTTCATTACTATATTTATTAGTTTTCCGATTTAGGTCAATAATTCGATAAATGAATCAAATAAATCATTCAAAAACTTGATATGATTTGCATTTACATAAAAGATTAGTAAAATTTACTTATCTTGATTTAACACAAAGACATTGAATAAGAAAAAGTTTGATTTTAAAATTGATATATAGTCTTATTTTTACAATTAAATAATGTAAATAAACATATTTTATATTTATCAGAAAAACGCATATTTGTTGGACATTTTATGGAACTAACAAAACGTTTATCTTTACGTTCATAATAAGACGAACATTCTTGTATTTTATGTCCATAAAGACCATTTTCTTTATGACGACAACTTGGTGTTAGCCAACAGGGTCTTTTATCTATTGAATTATATATTTGTGGATGACGATAATCGCCTAAATATTACTTAAATAAAAACTTTGTTATTGTCCACAACATTCTTACAAGCATCTTTTGGTTCAAATCGTTTACCACATTGTACTTGTGAATAATGTTTACATTCTTTTGCTTGTAAATCTAATAAAAGAAGATATGAGCATGAATAATAATATGTTTTATTTGGTATTGTCAATAATTGAATAGAAAACCAAGCACCATTTTCATTATTTTCTGTTATTTTATTTAAATAACATTCATTATAAAAAAGATTTTTCACTATAACAACGTTGTCGATATGAACTAAATATTGGTTCAGATTAATTTTCACATTGTAAAGTTTTATTAAGTGTTTTGTTAAAACAAAAATAATATGAACAACAATTCAAACTTGTATAATTAGTATAAAAACCATTCGATTTATTATTACAAATATCGATCATACATATTGGATTTAAAATAAATCCAAATAAAGCAAGACTAACGATGGTGAATGGACTAGTAGACATTATTATTTAATAATAGAATAGAAGTTTATTCGATTTATTTGTCTATAAACAAATGATTCTCTTGTTGACAATTGTAAATAATATCTAGAAATCATAACAGACATAGTCGCTCATTGTGGGCAAAAGAAAAGAAAAGTTAGTCAAGTAAAAGAATTGTACTATATTAAAGTGCCAAAGGTCATTGTACTAGCAATAAACACTATCGAAAATATTATTGTGAAAAATTAATTTTATTATCCAATTAATTAATGTCATAGTATATTAGAAATTTATTTTCATAGTTTCATAATGATCAGACATTTGTGTTTTCCCTTTCATAGTCGTGTTTTGGTTTTGCTCTTTAAAAGAAGCACAAAATTTTTAACTAACAAACACATTAATGTTATACGCCATGTGAGCTATATTATAAATAATTCATATTATTTAATATGAATTATTTATGAAATAATCAATTATTCTTTTTTTGCTTGAAAATGATAAAAAAATAATTTAGTTGACTAATCAGATGTAAAGTTTTACTTGTTTTTAAAATATTATATTCAATTATTGAGATTTCTATTGTGTATTCAAATATATCCCGATCAAAGTATACCATTTTTTTGAATTCTACAAAGGCATTATGGCCAATAGAGCAAGACAAAAATGCAAAAAGATCAACTTGTTTTCTATAGAATGAGTTTTGTAGAATATAAAGCCTAACAACTGAATAGTTTTGTTGAAATTCAATTGAAATGCATAGAAATAAAGTGAGATAAAAATAAATACTTCGGTTTGTTCTTATGAATGCCCTGATAATGTCTGTGATGCGTACAAGCATATGTCAAAAGTTGTTATTTTCATTTGGGTACTTGGCTCTAACTAGATTATTACTTAGTTTGACTTCTGTCAATCAAACCAAGATCAAACGAAACAAAAGCTATGTACGCAACGACAATGACTAATGGCTTTTATTTGTCGTTGAATACTTTGAAATTTTATTTTTTTATGTAATAGGTATTGTAAATCATAATCTTGAATATTTATAGTTTTACTCTTTATTTTTTATCGTTCAAATTCATATTAATTGAATCAGATAGTATCAATATTACTTAATGCAATTATTGCCAGACACTTTTTTGTATTGAGAATCTTGCTAATTGATTTCAATATCAATCTGACATTCTTTCCATTGGTTTTTTTAATTTGATCAATTAATTAAATTCATTTGTTATCTAATGATGAACAGTTTTCATATAGATTGTTATCATCTTAAGCTAGTACTAATGAGTAAGTTAGATCTATGAAGATCATAGACTATTCTCATTTTTTTAGATATTAGTTTACTTTGTCTAAAATCGATATTCATCATTTAAGTATCATTATGAATACTCATTCTGTTATTTATATATTTACCACTTTTTGATTTTTTTCCTATATATTGTTATAATGATTTCTAATATAAGTGATTGTTGGTTGGAATTGGAAATATAGACTCCACTGATTGATATGTGGTGTTTAATAATCAATATAACAGATCTATTGTGATTTATATGTATTTGAGTTATTCGAAAAAGAAAAATATGTAAAATAAATAAGCAAACATATTCTATATGAATTTTTTAATATTTAATTTTTACTATAGGGAATATTTGACTTTTTTTTAATGATACTTATTCAATATCAACCATATTTAAAAAAAATAATGAATATTTAGATACATTCATTCTCGTATTGATCCATTGTATTACATTTTTTTCTATTGTCAAGTCAATTATATCATTGACAAATTTTAGAATCCGACAAGAAAATGATTCAATATCGAAAGAAATCTATTTGAAGTCAAGTACTTGTTTTTCATCTATTGTTCAGTTTTCTATGGCTCGTGCTGTAAATTAACGTTGAAAGAATCTGTAAAAACATAATATTCTTTTCAATAGTTTTAGAACTTTATAGACTAAAAAATGCTCATTCTGTTTTAACATATATTTAAAAGACAAAAAAAAATGGTTAAACTGTTTACATGAAGAATTACTAAAGCACAAAAATCTTCCATAAATATCGGCATAAAATTACTTCAATTACGATCAATTATAATTATTCCTGATTTAATGAATAATATTTATAATAAGACATAAAAACATTATAAACAACTAAAACTGATATTGCTACAAAAGCAACAGCAAATAAAAAATATTCTTGTGGTTTTAATTTTATTGAACGTGGTGGTTCTCTTTCATTACGTTGTCGTAGAGGTGGATATTTTTCATGACATTTTGGACCTTGAATTTGTTTGGATGCATGTTTCTTATCAGATGCTGTGCCATATGTTGCAAGAATCGAATTAAGACGCAACCTAGATATTCAAAAAAAACAACAAGCTCGAGTTTTTCTATAGAATCTTCCTTTTCCTTTCACATTCATTCAGCAACATAGTTGCTATAATCAATTCACATAGCGTGTGTATTCATATCATTCCAGCATGCGAACAATACTGCACAACATCAAAACTTAGACTCACATGTTTATGTATTTTAAATTCCTCAATAAGAAAAACTCAATCTAAAAACTAAAATAATTAAGTCCAATTTTGTTTTGAGAAACCAAATGATATTCAAGAAATGTAGTTTATTGTTCAGAATGAATATGACACACACATACAAGTTTAAGTCTCAAGAATCCTTATTCTTTTTCATCAATAATTAATCCAATTAGGTGAATAAAGAGAAAAATGGAAAAAAAAACAAATTTTAGAACAAAGAAACTGAAAATAATCACTTATACGTATATTAATGAAGAGAAGAATAATGTACAATTTAAGGATAATGATCTTGATTAGTAAGAGCAAAAGGAAAAACTAAATTATGTTTGTACATATAGATACAAAAAAAATGAACCCAAGAAACTTATGCGGAATATCAATGAAGATAAGAAAACTAGTCAAAATCTTCATTGTAATCCTCGGCTAATAACTCGATGACTTTGTTTAAGTCATTGTTATTTTCTGCAAGTAAACGTTGATTTTTTTCACGATCACCAAAACCCATTTCAATTAATATTTCCATTGGATCATTTGATAAACTTAAATTTCTATTCGTTGTTTCACTATAATCAACATGTTCAAAAAAATCATCAACACTTGAATTTCTTGTATTGATCAATGTTCGTTCTGGTTGTTGATTTTGTCGTTGTTGTTGAGCAGATTGAGTTGTCTAAATAAATTAGATGTTTTACTATTAAATAAAATACAATATCTAACCTCATCAGTTGCTTGTAATGTATTAAAAATTGCTTTAGCTGTTGAACCTGCTTGTTTAGCAACACTGAATATATTTGTTACCACTGAATCAACAAAATCTATTGAGTGGCTAAAATAAAAAGAAAAGAATATGATTATTCATTTCAATAGTATTCAAAGTCATAATGGACTTGTTGCTTTAACAGTCTGTTTCTTAAAATCAGACGACACTAGAGCCCATTGGGTTCAGGTCCGAAACGAACCTAATGGACTCTAGACGAAATATCTGATTTTCAATCTAACGATTTAGCGTTTCAAAAATATAAATTTACTTTAATCGTGGTGATTGTTGACGTTCTTGATTATTATTTGTAGAGGTAAGTGGTGGTATTTCAATTAATAATGTTTCATGTGGTTTGGTTAATATTGGCGATGGTGAACGCACAAAAGTTGAAAGGCTATCACTATCACTCAAAGATGGATGTGTCAATATATCAACTAATGGTTCCGATTGTGTATCTGTTGAATTTGAACGAGGTAAAATAAAGCTTGACTAATAAAATAAAACATAGTAAGATTATTAATAAATGGATTATATACTTACACGAAGTGAACTATCGCTTGATGTTAATTGATAGGGTTTTGATAAATCGAAACAAGCTGGTAATGGTACATTAACAACTTCAAAAGCTTCTTGTAATGTATTATTGGTCAATTCTAAAAGATAAAGAAAGGACATTTATTCTGTACAAAATGTTTCTTCAAATTTTTTCTTTTTGAGATAGAAAAAAAAACCAACGAAGATAACATCTGCCATTGTTAATTTTGGCATGAAAAAATGGAACCAAAAAAAAACATATTTCAAAAGAAATATGGGTGCGCTACATGTCCATGACCTATTCTACTGATCCTCTTATTTATAAATACATACTAGTTACTGTTGAAGAGCCAACTTCTATTGAACACCAAATCATTGGACCAAATGTTTGATGACGATAAGATAAAATCCATTTACTTTCATAAGTACCTGGCTCATTAGCACACATATAATCAACAGTTATAACTGCTCGATCATGCGGTGCAGTAACAGGAATAATAGGTTGCTTAACAACTTTAATACCATCAGCTAAATTGATTAGTTGTATATCTTGACTTGACCATGGCATAGAGCCATCGTTCAGAAGTATCCAACCTTTACGAAATACTTGTCCTGGTTGCATAGATGTTCCATCAGGAGTATTTTCATCAGCGACAAAACGTGCCGAATATGGGCTAGAAAAACAAAAATTTTATAGATTCTATAATAATGTCGATCGGGTAATTTAGAATATAAAAATGAGTAATATTGGATGAACGAGATCAATCGTTTTTGGTTCCAGTTCCAATCCTGTCGAAATCATTTTGTCTACTGTACGTTGTAACGTAGTCAACATACTATCGGATAAGTAATCCGAGATAAACAGATGTTAGTGACTTTTCCGGATGATTTCATGCCTGATGGTACTATGCCTTTAACACAGTGCGTTGTGGATGCCTGTCGAACAATGTATGCACTTAATCATAGCGATGCGCGCTTTTTTTTTGCTAGTGATCAGTTTCAAGTTTTTCAAACATTGAATAACTTACGAAAAGAATTTTAAGAAGACAGATATCTTTAACAGAGAATTCGAATATAAAATATATTAGATACTACAATAATCGATGCATCTGAATCTCATTTCTTGAAAAAAAAACGATATTTGTTTTTTTATTTTAATAATCTACTTCGAGTTCAAAAGAAAAATAG